AGCGAAACTCAGTCAAAACCACCCGGTTTCACAAGCTTATAGAAAAAAACCTTGAGCTGCCCTGCGGTTGCGCTGGAAAGGTTCAAGAACCTTTTTGGGAAAACCTGGATTTTGTTTCAGATTTGCATTAAAGTAGGTGTTTGGCATGATCTTGGAATTCCTAATGAAATTTTCAAGCATTTCTACAAAATGGAAGGCCTCCTCTGGGAAAACCCCTGGAACCATTAAGAAGGGGAAGGATAGTCACTCACCGTCTATTACTGTAGCAGCTATCATGGGTTTTATGCCATGTCTTTTGCCGATAGTCTGTGCAGTTTCAGCTCCAATCATCTGGTCATACCATAGATCCCTTTCTGTGGTAGCATGCAGGTTAACTCCATAGAGCACAACAGCACGGTATGAAAACATTGTATTAACGTGCATGGCATCCTCAGCACTTCCCACCCCAAATCTCCAAAGCAAAATGGCATCTAATGCCCAAGGGAGAAACTAAACCAGATTTGTCCTAAGAAACTGTTATGCTGATTGGAAACGAGACAAATCAGTTATATTCAAGGGCTGTTGTATCTGAGATACTCAATAACTGCACAAAGTGCGGCCAATATCCACCCAATCTGCTAGCACTTTGTTGTTAGAGCTTAGTGATAGCGTGTTAGCCTAATAGATGGGTGAGGTGGGCAGACCCATTAACATGTGAAAAATAGCCTTGGAAACTGCACAACCTGGGGAAGAAGCCGTCTCCACAATGCCATGTCAGGTTCACAAAACCACTGCACCTTTACTTTTGGGGGGAAAAAACGATTAATTTTTCAAAATAACAAAAAAAATGGCAACAGTGACAAAAATCACAATGAGCAAGACTTTTAAAGAAATACAGTAATCTATATTACTCCCACCAGGATAAAGGAATGTAAATGCAGAGCTCTTGCTCTGTGTGCATAGGAGCTCTTTTTTCTTTTTTTTCACATTTTCACCTAGGAATGTCATGATGCATAGAACTGTAGAACTCGAAGGGACCTCAAGAAGTCATCAAGTCCAGTCCCCTGCCTTCACGGAAGGACCAAGCACCAATTAGATTAGGGTTGGGAACCGTTTTTGGGTCAGGGCCATTGACCAATAGGACAGTCAGTCAGGGGCTGCACACAAGTGAGAAACAAAAACAATCAAAACCACCTCACGTGTGGGCTCTCCAATGCTGGAGGGTGCACCGAGTCTCAGGGGTCAGATCCAGGCAAGCCGGGGGCTGTATCTGGGCCGTGGGCCTTAGGTTTCTCACCCGCAATCTAGATCATCCTTGATAAATATCTGTCTAAACCTGCTCTTAAATATCTCCAGTGATGGAGCTTCCACAACCTCCCTACGCAATTTAGTCCAGTGTATAACCACCTGACAAGAAGTGTTTCCTAATGTCCAACCTAAACCTCCCGTGCTGCAATTTAAGCCCATTGCTTCTTGTCCTATCAGAGATTAAGGAGAGTAATTTTTCTTCCTTCTCCTTGTGACACCCTTTTAGGTATTTAAAAGCTGCTATCGTGTCCCCTCTCAGTCATCTCATTTCCAAACTAAACAAGCCCAATTCTTTCAGTCTTCCCTCATAGGTTATGTTTTTTAGAACTTTCATCGTTTTTGTTGTTCTTACCTGGACCCTCTCCAATTTCTCCACATCTTTCCTGAAATGTGGTTCCAAGAACTGGACACAATACTCCAATTGAGGTCTAATCAGCACACAGTAGAGCAGAAGAATGACTTCTCATGTCTTGCTCCTGTAATGCATCCCAGAATGATGTTTGCTTTTTTTACAACAGTGTCACACTGCTGAATCCTATTTAGCTTGTGGGTCCACTATGACCTCTAGATCCCTTTCTGCAGTACTCCTTCCTAGACTGTCGCTTCCCAGTCTATATTTGTAAAATGAATTGTTCCTTCCTAAGTGACGTACTTTGCATTTTACCTTATTAAACTTCATCCTATTCATGATCATACCATGGGTATATTCTAGTTACAAATACAATAGATCTCTTTGCATATTGATGTAGTCCCAATCAACAAAGCACTTAGCACATGCTTGACTCTTTTAACTTGTGATTATCCCCATTGACTTCAGGGAGACTTCTTTCTGGCTTTGCTGGATCAGGCCCTGATTTCCAGTGACATGAGACTACTCCACATGCATGTCAGTGTTCTTCCACAGTTGTCTCAAAACTAAACTGTCTGAAAAACCACCTCGTGGCAGCTGATTTCTGCTGAGGTCCTAAATAGAAAAAAAAAAACATGGCTGGGGTATTTTTATAAAAACTGACAGATTTGCTACTCACTGGCCCATTAGATCCCAAGCATGTTGACCTTTTCGGACATAATGCGAGGCCCACCTGTTTTTGTAGATGTTGGCTGGGTGTGGTGGGAGTATATGTTTGCTTTCAGGAGATCCTCTTCCCAGGTCCAGAGAACAGTGACTAGTGTATTTTCCTGTATATTGCATGAGCCCCCAGAGACTTGTTATAGGGTATGTTTTCATAAACTGAAAAAATAAAGATGTTCGATAAGCACTAATATGCCTCTGTGCTGAGATAATTTCTCTCTGCTCTTTCTCTGCCACTCGGGATAGAAAGTGCAGCTAATTCCCACATATTGATGAAGTTACCTTTGCAACTCAAAGGCTGTGTCTACACTTCACCCCTTTTCCGGAAAAGGGGTACAGTGTAGACACAGCCAAAAAGTTGAAGTGTGGAAGCATTGTAAGGCAGTCACAGCTGATATTAGACATCTGTGTAGTCAGCTTAGGGGATATTTCCAAATCTGGTCCGGTTTCAAATGGAAATCTGTTTCTAGAGTATCGTGACTTTTTGAAAACTTAAAAAACAGCAAATAGTCTTGCAGCACCTTAAACACTAAAGGTGTGTCTAGACTACAGGGCTTTTTTTCTGAAAAAAAGTGGCCTTTTTTCGAAAAAACTTCCCCTGCATCTAGACTGCTGCTGCGTGCTTTCAAAAGTAAATCGAAAGAACACGGCAGTTTTTTCGACTGCAGAAAACCTCGTTTTACGAGGAAGAGCGCCTTTTTTCGAAAGTGCCCTTTCAAAAAAAGGTGCTATGTAATGCAAGCTATACTTTTTCGAAAGAGAGCATCCAGACTCCCGGGGTGCTCTCTTTTGAAAAAGCCGCTTGCTTTTTCAAAAGTACTGGTTGTAGTCTAGATGCTCTTTTTCGAAAGAGGCTTTTTTGAAAGTATCTTTTTTGAAAAAGCCTATTTTGAAAGAGGCTTGTAGTCTAGATGTAGCCTAACAAAACATGTAGATGGTATCATGAGCTTTCATGGGCACAACCCGCTTGGTATCCTTGGGCGAGTGACTTTGCTTCAGTTTCCCCCATCTGTAAAAGTGAGTTAATGAAACCAACCTTTTTGGTAAAGCAGATTAAAGTCTACTGATCCAAAGCACTGTGTAAGATCTAAGTTTTGTTGTTAGCCACTTGCCTTGTTGCATCGCTCCTTTTCCTTGCTCGCCCATGCACAACAACTGAGTTTAGAAGATAGTCAGCCACAGTCACCATTCGTGATTGGATCCCAAATTTACAGATTCATTTTTCCCCCTCTTGCATGATGTGCAAGCAAGTGAAACAAAAAGCATTGCCATTCCCATCTAGCCAGAATTACAAAATGAAGGGTAATTATTGTAAACCATTTATCATAACTTGATGCTTTGTAAGAAGAAATAAAAAAAAAGTTTTTAACCAGGAATGTTTGTGCTTATGATTTTCTATATATAGCTTACATGAAAGGGTTAAATTATGCTGGCTAGAGAACAACCCACACTGTGGGAGGTGGATAGCAACTCAACCAGAGACAGAGAGGGACTTGAACTCATTAACACTTTATTTTAAGGCATTGCCTGCAACATCAATTATTTAGGAAGCAAACAGGGTCTCCATTGGCGTGTCACATTATTAATACTTGATAATGTCAATAAAATCCTAGTTTCCTATGAAGTCCCACCAACAAGACACTATTGACTCACATGGCTATTTTACATATCAAAAGCTACTGAACAAAAAACGTAATTTGTATTTGTGAAGGATTTGTTGTAAATATGATTTACGAACAACATTTTTCAATTGTTATCATACCCGTTTTGAATGACCAACCCGCATTCCCCTGCGGGTTATTCATGTGCTATTCTATAATGAGAAATTTGGCAGATCGCATCTCTTTAGTGCATCCTTGTGCCCACCATGAGCTGAGGATCATGTTCTGCCTTGTTTACAGCTGACAGTGTTATTATTCTCGTTAGGGCTCTGCTTTCTTATCATATTGTTGTGTTGAGCGAGCCTTTTCCTCTCCGTTTGTGTTTCCTGGCAGAGCTTTTCTTCCCTTATTGACAGTTTGTAAAAAATATGCATTAATTTGGAGTTTAAAGCATGTATCATGGTGTCTCTTTGCTGTGTTTGCTTGAAGTTGATTAATGATAGAACCTCACTTGGGGTCGTCCTCTGGAGAGTTGTCTCACAGGTTCTGCATGTTAACTAGAAAAGCAGAACACACAGCAAGGGATGATTAGCCCAGCCTCCACCCGCTCAATGGGCTGACAGACCACTATTTTGCTTTACTGTGCTCATTTCACGTATTTATCCAAAGATTGTGTTAATCAACTTAATATGTCAGTTGAGAGCATATTCTCTAAATCCCATGAATAAACCATATAGAAGCAAATGCTCCTCTTAGGATATTTTCCCACTGAAGCAAAGTAATTGTAGCCATATTCTTAGCTATACACTTTTTGGTTGTTTGGTTTTTTTTTTCTTTAGCAGCAACCCAAAAGTTCATAGGCCTGAATTTTATTAGTAGTGACCATCCACAACTTCTGGAGAAGTTAGTTCGAGCTGCCCAGTGTTCAGCGTCTCTGGAAATCAGGCCTTCAATTTCTCCAAAAAAGTCTGTGTTGCCAAAGCAGGACAAACTCATTTTTAAACAGGGAAGATGCTAATTGACTGTTTTAATTTTCCTAGGCACCCTGTGCATGTCAAAGAAGAACCGTTGGATCCGGATGAAAACGAAGGCCCACTCTCCTTAGTGACAACAGCCAATCACAGTCCAGATTTTGATCACGATAGAGATTATGAAGACGAACCTGTAAATGAGGACATAGAATGAGTATGCCTGATGTCATTATCCTGAGAATGAAGATTGAAAAAACACGTCAAATTTAGCTGTGAAATCTCTCCATTATTGTACAGTCTGGAGGATTCTCAGTACACTTTTGACAACTATGAAATATGTTAACTCTTAGTGCCATCAAGTATCCCATTTGGGAGTATTTTTGATTTTTCTACTTTTTGTTGAAAAAAGGAATTTGTACTCTGTGCATTGGATGGACTTGTTTGGTACTTGGGATTATTTTCCTCTCTTACAGTCAACATCAGTGTTGTAAATTTGCGAAACTGATTCACTTACCCACATATAGCAGCAGGTTTCGGACTGCAGTCCTGCCAATTTTGGACACTGAGGACATCAAACTCTGAGCATGTAGACCTAAACTGCAGATCAAGCCTTTGCCCAGATTTTAAGGATTCCAATGGACAACATATTTGCACAGTACTGCATGTTGGTTATCACTGCCTTTACTCCCCCACCCCTCTTTTTTTTTTGTTTTTGTTTTGTTTTGTTTTGCTTCCATTTGGGATGGGGAAGGCATGTGTGTGTGCGCGCGCGTATGTGTGTATACTGGCGAGGGGGTTACAAGACAAATTATCCCAAACTTTTTAATGTATTGCTTTTATTTCCTCTCCCCTCCTCCCCTTCTGCTCTACCATTTTAAGTTCTGACCTCAGGCCACATCTCGGCCCAGGGCCTCTTGGAGGCTTAATGTTTTTCTGTACTTTGTGATGAATGTTAATAGGTGTTTTTATTATACAAAGCTGAATGTCATTGAATTGTTTGTAGTTTTTTCCGTCATTCATTCCAGTCTCCTTCAGATGCCATCATGTTTTCTTTAGCTATAGAAAACATTCCATTTTGGTGTCTGTTTTTTTGAAAAGGTCCCAAATGCTGCACTGTGTACGCATCGAAGGGTCATCCAACAGAGAGAGAGAGACAGAAATGAAGTACTGTAAGAATGCGAATGAATGACAGATGAACATAGAAATACTGTAGGAAGCAACACACATTCATTCCACAAAGCAGGGGTTTTTTGGTTTGGGTTTTTGATTTTTTTTTTTTTTTTTTTTGGCAGCATTGGTGAATATTAGCAAATGCCACAAAATTGAACAGCACAAAGAAACATATGCAGCACCAACAGAATTCACTTCATTAGAGAATGAATACTACAGTGGCAGGCTCTCTCAGTTGTTTAACATGAGTTTTAATGGGCCAACAAATCTTTCTGGAATATCTGAGATTACCAAAATGGGTACCTATACATTTATTATTGTTTTTCATTTGCGAAGAGTGGTTGGAAAGATGACTTCATTCAACTGTTGTAATATGTGGTGACATTTCTTGTGGCATTAATCTGTTTGAACACAAATTAGATTTCAGATTAAACTTGTGATGGCAGTTAATAAGGACTGAGCCCACTAATGCTACAGTGTTAATAATTTCAACTGTGCAAATTCTGTACTGCAGTTAAGATTGTTATGCAATATTAGACCAGCCAGTATCAAAACCTCACCGTAGAAAACAGTAAATAGTGGGGTGGGGGAGAACAGCACTGGGGCTTGTTTGGTAAAACTGGCAGTGCTCTTCAAAGCAAACATTACATACAGAAAGCTGTTGTTACAGGTCAGTACACATCAGTCACCAAACACCAAAACACTTTCATTCTGCAACCACTTTTCTGTCACTCATTTATTTATGTAGGACTGTAGCTTTTGTTTAATTATTATTTCAAAAAAAAAAGCTTTTCAGAGCTTAATTTATATTCTTCTTTGTACCTTTCCCCCCTAAAATTACCAAAGATATTACACAAAGGTAAATTATGTTCTCTGTTATATGCTTTATCTTATGAAGCCAAATATCCTCTTATTGTTGATCAAGGGAGGCTGAAGGATTTAGAGGGAAAAGACAAGAATATGGGCTATTGCTAACCTTAGAAGGGAAACTGCTCCTTTATTCTAATAAATTTAGATGGCCAAGAAAATGACTGAACCAAAGTTACTTTTTATTCGTATTCCTTTACAGCAACCAAATCGAAATTCTGTGAAGAGAAATTGAGGAGCTCTTTTGAGGTTAAAATTAGGAAACAGTGTTACAGAGGGAGCCATAAGAAGGGAGCTGGAGAAAGCAAATGCAGTTATTTTGCAGAAAATTGGAGTGTCAAATAAAGGAGACAGTTTAATAAAATACAAAAGAGAACAGAAAAGCTCCCACAATTTTACTGGACCATATAATAGTATTCCTAGATTAAAACATATTTTGGGGTCTTTGTTTTTACAGATTGTATGCCACTTTTGTTTAAGGATTGTGCTAAGATGACTGCTTTAATTTTGGTTTTTCTTGGCACATTTGCTGAGTCTTGTTTAGTTTTTGATCCACATTTTTCATAAGGAAATAACACTCCTGTCCACACATAAGCTTTGATACAACAAATTTCATTAGCAGTTACTTTTCTAAAGCTCAACTCTGCGTTCTGTTTAAAAGAGAGAGAGAGAGAGAGAAAGGGAAAAAAGGGCAGTCCGTGGTCATTTGAAACTTTTTTTTAAAGTATATCCAGGCAGCTTCATGACGTGCCGGCAGTAGCCAGATGGGGATCCTGAGAAGTGGTCCCCATGTTTCTAAACTGAGTGGTTTGCTGGTTAGTTTGGTATTCAAGAGGATAAAAATCTGGTAGATTAGTTCATTCTCAGCATGTGTAGCTAGACATGAGTAAAGATAACAGCATGAGAAACTGTTAGTACGCATACCTCAGTTCAAACTGTTAGGGAATGAGTAAATAAAAATACATTTCACTCAGTTGCACTTAGTTGTATGTCTTGCATGCTTAGTCTAAAGACTGTAGCAAACTAAATAAAGAAAAAGAGAAAAAGAAATAAAAATTAGATTTTAACATATCTGACAGGTGTCACAGCCTTGCAGAAGAACCAACTGAAAATCTCAGGCTTTACATCAAGCAAACTTCACTATGATTTTTACAATTCTGATTCAATATCCTTTTGGATATACAGTTGCTTCGTTAGGGTGGGGGTTTATTATGTTGTACATATATATCCCAATGTGTCCGTGTGAGCCTTTGTCTTTTTTGGGGGGGGAGGGAGGGAGGAAAAGGGGAAAAGGTCCTTTTTTAAAATACCATTGCTCAAAAAGGAATAAATGCATACCTGTTTGTCAAAACACCTTTTGCTTTTTGTGCAACTGCTTTATATTAACTATACTAAAAAAAAACTTTGGAAAAAAAAACTACTGTATGTAATGGAATTGCAGAATATGCTGCACATGTATTTTATTTAGTTATCCTTGCTTTAAGAATATTGGATGACATTTGCTGACATGTGGGAGAAAATCCCTGACTTTTTTTTTTTTTTTGCTTTTAAATTGTAAAATAGTTGACAGATTATTTTTTTCTCCTTTTATCATTGATCGAAGACTCTTTTGTACAGTGTGTGTTGAGCTGGGTTTTTTTTTTGTTTGTTTTTATACTTTCCCACCCCTCTGTTATCTTACCACTGCCATTTCTGGCTGTCTTAAACAAAGGTTCATACATTTGAAAACTAAAAAAAAAAGTTGTTTTAAAAAACGTTTTTCTCCTGCTGCAGTAAATATTTTGCATGATGAATTCCAGGGTCACACTTTCAAAGTTTATCAGTGAAGTAGTGATTAATAATGGGGCGTGTCAAACTATTGAACTTTTGTATAAAGAAAAAAAAACTTTACAAGGTGCCAAGATGTAAAGACAATTTGTTACATGTTTTTTTTCTCAAAGAAAAGCGTACATATTATGAAAGTAGTACCATGTATCAGGTAAATCGCTGTCAGGAATGAGAGTCAAAGCCTTCCTTGTCCACAAAGAAAAGTTTGTAAATGTAAAACCTGTTAGGTTTCTGCATTTGACTAGAAGTGATATGAAAAATCAAGGCTTATGTAGAACAGTTGACCACAAAATATTATCATCTTTGATTGTCGCTTAAAAGAGTTCAAATACAATTCCTAGCACTCTTCTTAAAACTCAGATTTTGGGGGAGAGAATGGGGTAGGGATTGTGATTCTAAGGCATTGCAGATCATTAGATATTTTATATATACGTATGTAAAAAAAAATTTTTTTAATAATTTTAAACTATTGTAGTTTTCGGATTGCCAACAAGCTACATTCCTTATAGCGTGAAGAATGTGTTAAACTATTTTGAAATCCTTTGGTACCTTTGGTTAATGTACTCGGACTGAATTTTTAGATGTTTCAGAAATCACTTAGCGTTCTAGTCTTGAGAGGTAAATTTGCAGTTGCATTTTAATGGGCCCAGAATAGGTAACAAAATATCTTCTACCCATAAGCCTTGATAAAAATGGTACAGTCCAGACTGTTAGCATGGTGCTTCATGTGTATGTGCTGCCAGTAATGAGATTTTTTTTTTGATAAGGCATAAAAGAAACTCATTCCTTACATCAACTGTAATTCCATCATTCCATGTCTGTTGATACAGACAATAAAAAATGTTGTGTAGTCAGTACTAATTACTGACATTATAGCATTCTCAAATGCAATAAAATGCTGGTTGTTCACACTGGTAATACAAGTTGCCATGTCCTAAGTTTTTGTTTTGTTTTCCCCTTTTATGATTTCATGTTACTGACATTCACTATGGTCCCCATCCTGCAAAAACGGATCCCCATGGACAGGAGCCTGCCCCTCACCAGAATCTCCATTAAAACCAGGTCAGTGGGGCTCTTTGTGAGTACAGGGGTCTTCCCAAGCACAGCATGTAGCAAGGCCTGGACCTAACAGGGAATGCTTCAGCCATGGTGTTACAACCAGTCTGAGCATAGACCTGGTCCTCCAAAGATCAGAGTGTCCTTCCATGTGACGTCATTGGAAGGCACTCTGCAGCTCCCAGAACAGACCCTTGCGTGCATCTGTTTGCAAGTAGAAACAGTGGGTTTAGCCTTTGTAGTCAGAGTTGAGGGGTGCTCTATATTTTACCTTACAGGCATAGAGATGAGTACCTGTTTAGGAACCAATCCTGCAAATACTTCCAGGTCCTGGGAACTGTACCATCGACTTCAGTAGGAACTACACTAGACCGGGAAGGTTGGGTTAAGGTATGCAACGCCAGCTACGTGAAATACATAGCTGGAGTCAGTGTACCTTCATTCGAGCATGGCACCATCTTCAGAGAGGGAGGCTGATGGGACCAATTCTCCCGTCAGCTTCCCTTACTTGCTACTATGAGGAGTACCAGAGCCACCCTCAGTATAGGATTTAGTGGGTCTTATATAGACCCACTAAATCAAACACCAGAAGACTGATCTCCGGCACAGCAAGTGAAGATGTGGTCAGAGTTGTAAGCATTCTTCCTAGGTAATAAAGGGTTTAGCGGATGAGACCAAATCACAATAAAGTTCCAAGTGACGTCAACTTAGACAAACTTTAAAGAAAAAAGTTCACCTCCTTTTCTCTTGAGTAAGCATACACTTATTTTCTTCATCAAGTTTTATAAAGAAAAATAAAATGTTTAATAACTAGCATTAGCAGCAGCAAACTAAAATTTCAGAGGAGAGACTTCCATGAATAATTCATTAAAATTTCACATCTGCAAGATTAGTCATCCAAATAAAATGCTAATGTCAAAAACACGCACCGTCTATAATATTCTCATCAAGAAATCTTTTTGCATATAATGATAAATGCTTAAATTAGTACAAATGATTTTATAAAAATATTCTGCCATAAAATTATAGTGGATAACTACTTTCAGGACAAAAAATAAATAAGTTACAAAGTTGAGTATTGGAAAGCTATTGATTTTGAAACTTTAATAATCTAAATATAGAGAATAAAGTTCACGGTGAATGTTAATGTGTATTGCAGTTTTCAAAAACTACACAAGGCTCCCCCCCCCCCCTTTTTAAATCAAATTTACTTACCTTGCTCAAAATCACGGGTAGGGTTTCTTAATACAGTACAGTTTTCCAATATTAATTAGCTTAGCATGTGTTGTGATGTCATTTTCACTTGGCTCAAGTGCATGGCAAACACAGTCAAATCATAATAGACTTTTGCACCCAATTACCACTCTCTGCACAGGTGATAATGAC